GAAGCAGGTATCTGGGATTTACTTATCTTCTATAATTGAAACTTTGTAGCCTTGAGCAGAGCTCAGGGCCGGCAGGGCAGTCAGGAAGCTTGGCTTCCTCCATTCCCGGGGGCATCCCAAGCCTCCTGCTTGCTCCAGCACCGTGGCCCCCGCCATCTTAGTTGGGTTAATTTGCATATTTGCTCCTGATTGGCTGGTGGGCGTGGATGGTGGGCATGGCTTGTGGGTGTAGCAGAGGTCTAGTCAATTTGCATGTTTCTCTTTTATTAGATTAGATAACCAGTTATCACAAAGAGAACTTAAGAAAACAATCCGATTTTCAAGTGCATCGAAAAGAATAAAATACCTAGGGATAAATTTAACCAAGGAGATGAAAGACCTGTACTCTGAAAACAGTAAAACATTGTTAAAAGAAACTGAAGATAACACAAATAAATGGAAGGTTATTCCATGATAGTGGGCTGAAAGGATTAATATTGTTCAAATATCCATAATACCAAAGCAATCTACAGATTCAATGCAATCTCTATGAAAATATCAAAGAACTAGAACAAATAATTTCTAAATTTATATAGAACTACAAATACCCTGAATAGCCAGAGTTATCTTGAGAAAGAACAGGGTTGAAGGTAATGCATTCCCTAATTTCAGACTGTATACAAAACTATACTAATCAAAACAGTATGGTATTAGCACAAAAACAGAGACATAAAGAAATGGAACAGAATAGATAGCATAGAAATAAACTAACATTTAGATGGTTTATAAATCTACTAGATGCCCAGTACACGAAATTTGTGCACGGGTAGGGTCCCTAGGCCTGGCCATGATCAGGGCCGATTAGGGCCTTCCTTTCCCTGGCTGCCGGCCAGGGCCTTCCTTCATTCTGCACCGCCCCCGGTAGTCAGCGCATGTCATAGCGAGTGGTCGAACTCCTCGTTGGTTGAACTCCCGAGGGGACAATTTGCATATTTGCCTTTTATTATATAGGATGACAAACAAGGTAAGAATATACCATGGGGAAAAGACAGTCCCTTCAGTAAATGGTGTTGGAAAAACTGGACACATACATCCAAAGAATAAAACTGGGCTACTTTGTTACACTATATACAAATATAAACTCAAAATAGATTAAAAACTTAATGTAAGCCTGAAACCACAGAACTCTTAGAAGAAGCATAGGCAGTAAACTCTTTGACATCTGTCTTAGCAATATATTTTTTTATATGTCTCCCTGAGCAAGGGCAACAAAACTAAAAATAAACAAATAGGACTAAATCAAATTAGAAAGGTTTTTCACAGTGAAGGAAACCATCAACAAACAAAAAGACAAGGTACTCAGAACAAATCTTGCAAAGGATACATCCAATAAGGGGTTAACATCCAAAATATATAAAGAACTGATACTTCTCAATATCACAGAAATCCAAACTTATGAAAAAATGGGCAGAGAACTTGAAGAGACATTTTTCC